GCCCTCAAAAATCGACCTATGCTGAGAAATTTGACTCTATTCATTTCTTACAAACATGATAACAGATAAAAGAGGATACCTTCTCAGAAATCCATGTTGTGCATCACAAGCACGTTCCAACAATCAGAGCGATGAATAGCAAGTACGCTTCCTTAGCAAAAATTCTGCAGCAAGGCACCGCAGTAGGACTGGCATTGGCGGAAGTACAAACCAAGCGCCTTTGCTTTCTACTGGGCCGTAATCGAATGTGGGGAGTCTTGGGTCCCTGACGTGTCCGACGACTACTTCAACTCGGTCGTTAAAACCCGCCATAAATTCGAATGTTTAAACTCGGACTGGCTTTAAAGGAGACGACCTTGCCTCTCATCCTCCAAAAGGTTAGCCCTGGGGTAAGCAAACAGCTCTTTTGGGAGTGCAGACTCGCTGCAACACTTACGTCATTGCTCACTAGTACGAACCTGAGTTTAAGTAGTCCTCGAGCGTCGGGACCTCGTTTCCTCCCCAACGTTCAGGCCCCAGCAGAAACGCTAAAAGGGCTGGTTTGCTTACCTCCAGCTAGCGGCCCTGTTCGAAGCAGCGAATACCGTGACAGAATTCAGCTAAGGGCATTTCCTGACATTTTTCGAATGCGGAGCATACGTGCAAGCCCTTAAAGGCTCCACTTCAATACCTGCAAACAATTTCCAAATATGTGGCTTAAAGGCAGCAGATGACACGATAAATTGATCGTGGTTGAAAACAAAGGTAGAGGCGATAAATGAGGCAGTAGTGAATAATGAACGAAGGAGACGGCCTGAAAGTGGTAAAGGACTCATTCTGCCCGTGATTCTCTCTTTAAGGCCGATGTCAGACTTTGCGAATCGCGCGATTCGCTAGCGTCCGCGGTCGCGTTGCGGTACCAGCCAATTGAGTGATTCACTGGCCGCGACGCGACCGCAGACGCTAGCGAATCGCGCGATTCGCAAAGTCTGACATCGGCCTAAAGAGCCACCGAAGAAGACAGAGTTTACTTTCATGTAGATGTTAATCTCGATAGCTGCTTAATGCCTACAAAAATCATGCTCTCATCTGTGCGGCATAGACAGACAAATTGGAAGATGCGATCACTTGAAATGAAGCGCTGTTTTAAAATGAAAAGCCAGCGCTACTTGGACTGCAATCGACTCCCCTCTCCTCTCCTCTCTACTTGATAGTTATTTTTAGGGAAGTTCAGATTTAGTTTAGCCTGAATGCGAGGATGGGAGAAGCATGGGAGCAGGATGTGGAGATGAAGATGATGATTGTGGGCAGGGTGAAAATCGCTCGAGGAAACGGCAACGGCTCGTCGAGGATTTTCGCCTTTCTCACGCTCTCCCGCGCGGACATTCACTCTCGCCATGCGCGAGCCGTCTGTGCTCTCCGCGCGTACATTCACTCTCGGCACTACTCTCGCACAGTAGAGAGCCATGGTCGAGGAATTCCTCGACCGTTATTCACCCTGGTTGTGGGATTGAAGAGGAAAGTGGGGGGGGGGGGCATTAACAAATTTCCTCGACACTTCACTTATCTTCATCTTTTCTCCAGCTCCCACGTGGGCTGAGGTGTGAATTGAGTGTACAAATGGAAGTGGAGAGTTGCTGCTGCCATTTTACAAGGTATGGGAAAAACAGTAGGAACCACTGAAAACGATAAACAATTTCAAAGCCAATTTTGCAGGTGATGGGATAAGCGACAAAAACAACGCCAAGAAACTTGTTACTTGAATATGTTCCCATACGAATATATTATAGCGAATTTACAATGTCGCCTGTTTCCTTTGTAAGAACTGAAAGAAAACAGAATACGAAATGGAAAAGTTATTATCGAGAAGTGTTTGTGTGAAATCATCCTCCACGACAGGGCAATTTCAGTTCACCCAGAGTGCCAATCTTCCGCAAAATATTTACCATGTAACGAGAGATGGGCAAACCTCCCGATCTTTCGTGTCTTGTGACTTACACACATTATTTCAATCTCCTTCTGATTACTTATTGAACGCCTTAAGTTCATTCGAAACCTAGCCACTTTCCCGATAAAATATACAAAGTAAATTTAGGGAAAATAATTTCTGTGGAAATTACACCCGGTTGTATTTTTGTTCTATTTCGAGATTTTGTAATTTTCTGAGTATAAGTACAGTATCACTTATGAAATCGAACCTTATTATGCTCTGCATATTTTTCGATAATTGCGCATGCTCGATTCTCGCACAATAATGTGGTGCGCTTTGTCATACTTTTACACGTCTACATGTTTTTTTCGTTCTCTAGCTGCTTTATGTAAAAATCTCGTCTTTCAGCTTCCTTTATTACATTTCGATCATATAAATCATCAGCAGCTTAAGAGAGTGTGAGGTTGTATGATTTATGTTTCTACTTCTCTATCGACTAAATCTGTGAACAATTCATTGGCCATGCAGCCACTCCTAGCTCCTCGCACCATATCTATATATACACTTCTTTTCCCAAATTTATATACTCTCACCTAATATTCTCTCAATTAACCTCTACTTATATCATTATTTTTATTAAATATATCTCTATATTTTCTATTTAATTATACAAATACGAAATTCCTTATAAGCATCATCTTCCAACTTGGGATCCCAGGAATTTTTTCTAATAATTTTTGTTCAAAAGGCCACTTGGCCAACGTCCCAAAATTATAACTCCACCTCATGTTTTTCTATTATTTTTCACTTCCGTTTCGCCAAACTTTTTTAATGTGCTAACATCCTACTTCGCAAGAGGACAGTATGGTAGGAAATGCTGTCTGACTTTTTAAAAGGTCAGGTCGTTGCAAAACTACTCATTAGGCAATCGCACAAGGTTTTGACCAAAATCACGAGGAGCTTGACAATTTTTTTCAGGGATTTCACATTATATTTATTTATTTATATTTATAGCCCAGAGAATCTCCCCTTATGCTTGGCGTGGTTTTTCGTTTTGTGTTTTTTTTTCTTTTGTTTTGTTAGAAATCAAAGTTCTCTTTCTACATTTTATTATTTAAATCTTTATCTTCTTTTCATGAAGCGTGCTTCTTCCATTCAAAATTTCTTTTCTCCTTTTAATTTGTGGCTCAATCTATCTACTATATGTTTTTGCTGCTTTAAAAATTCTCTCTAATAGTTTGACTTCTCGTATTTTTTTTACAAACGTTGATAGTCTATTCATCTGTTGTAAGAAACCATTTCTCTATTTTTTGCTTGATAGTTTTCCGAAAGTGCAGCGAGTCCGACTGTAGTAAGGCGCACGTTCTTACTGCGATTTTCTGAGTTTACTGATTTTTCTTGTTCTTTCTTCTCGTTTTTCATTTTTGTTTCTTTTCTTCCTGCGTAAGTTCTTCTATATAGAGAAATTAATCTTACCTTTAAGCTGATTAAAAGCTACGAAAATTAATAATCATAGCAAATATTGTCTTAAAAACCATATTCTGAGTCAGTAAGGCGTGAACTCTTATCTCCAGTCGCTCTTATGCCATTCTTCTTGAAAACTGGGCCCTCAATTTTCCCATCGTTCGCCGATCATCAGATTGATGCCCTCCACGGTGTTGCCTTGCTTTTTTTATGTTTATACTCCCACCTATATTCAACTGTGTAGCTTGTTTTCGTCAGAGCAAGAGAAGAACATCGTCGGAGTTTGAAAGATTAAGTTCCGAAGAAGATTTGATGGCAGAGCACGGCTTCCTAAAAAAGGATGTTTCTTTTGTGACACGGCCTTCGTTTCTACTGAAAAGCAAGGGAAGATCCTCTGGAGCTCTTCTCAACTCCATATCATGTAAAATTCCTGAAAAAATTCTCCGAGCTCCTCGTGAATTTGATCAAAATCTTGTGCGATTGCTCAATTAGCAGTTTTTGCGACGACCTGACCTTTTAAAAAGTCAGACAGCATTTTCTATCATACTGTCCCCTTGAGAAGTAGGATGTTAGCACATTAAAAAAGTTTGGCGAAACGGAAGTGAAAAATAATAGAAAAACATGAGGTGGAGTTATAATTTTGGGACGTTGGCCAAGTGGCCTTTTGAACAAAAATTATTAGAAAAAATTCCTGGGATCTCAAGTTGGAAGATGATGCTTATAAGGAATTTCGTATTTGTATTTGACACACTGCCACATTAGAGACTTTTTCTAAAACATCTAATTTTGTGAGATTTTGGGAAATTCTTGGGTGGAGTTATAATTATGGGACGCAGTGTACTTTTTTCCGAGCATGTATCGAATATTAATAGTAAAATGTATCGTATAACTCTTCTGTGTGAATGCCTTGAAATAGCTCAACATGAGTGCTCGCTGTTTCACATGGCAAGCCTCGCTTAATCGATACGAACGAATTGGAGCAGTCGGCTGACGCAAAACCTCTCGTGTTTACTAAATATCGTATTGTGCCGATTCGTGCTTCTCCATAATACAACAACAGTACTCCTATCCGTGGATGTATTTTCCTGCCGCCTTGTGTGCCAGGGCTTGCAATGAGTTAAGGATAACAAGCCACTTCCCAGTGCCTACCTTGTGTTCCAGTCAATAGCAAAGAAAATATCAGCTCCCGCACGACACCATTGGTTTTCATTGCAGCCAGCTCAATAAAGATTTCTTGTTAATCAAATAATTTGTCGGAATAAGACGCCCCAGCTTATACCCTTCGCCGAAAATCATGCGATGAGATCGCAGCGGTCTCTGTCGATCGATTATGCGTAATCTGATACTAGACCAACTGGCGGATGCGGATCGATGTCTTATCGCGTATGAACGCAAAAAATGCGGATGCATATGACGCAGGCGATTCGCGGTATCATCTAACACTCGATGACTAGACGGGTCGGCCAAGCCTTCAATCTGATTTGCTAGAACTTATACACGGTTGCGCCTATCTACAACCATCATCACCACGTCGAACTATCCGCTGCACGCTATTTGTCATAATAAAATAAAAAACTCCAAATTCAAATAGATCAGACTTCTTTAAGCATAAATTACTCAATTTTAGAAGTAGCTATGGCCCTAAAGTCGCTTCAGTTTGGGACCAGCGGGGTGTTCGGCAGATATGTTCCAAAGGTTGGCACATTTTTATGTTATTCTAAGGCTTTTGGACCACAAACGCAAGTACTTGTTAAGTTGGCAATAACAAGCAGTGCTATGCAGCAGAAGCGTCATAAGTACAAGTATGTTGGCATGCAAGAAGAAACTGATGGATCATTCTCCGGTGACCTTAACTATGGACTTCACACACTGTTCTTCACTGAAATGATTCGAGGTAAGTTTATTGGCCGTTGCCTGAAAGAGATAAGAGGCGGATTTTAAGGTTTTGGCGTTATGCTTGGACACGTCTTCATGGAACCAGCCACGATCAACTACCCCTTCGAGAAAGGCCCTCTCAGCTCTCGGTTCAGGTCAGTTGCTTCGCTATAGAAGCGTGGAGGTTATTGCATTCTATTAAAATGGTAGTTGTGGTGATTGATCCGCGTGTGATGAAAGAAAGCGAAAAAAAAAACAACTAATCACTCTAGAGACTCATAGCGCGCCATTGTATGGGCGGGGTTTGCACCGCGACCCACTAAGAATCTCAATTATTGACCTCATCTCTTTATCATGTTTTGTCATATCAGAAGAACGCCGAAACAACAATTTTTTCGTGGGGTGGGGCGCAAATCCCGCCCATGTGATGAGGGTACTGTGTAAACTGAGGGTTCTTCGACCTTTCTTTTTGGATTCTTTCGCTGCTAGTAAACTAGCTACCACAACAACATTCATTTTCGAGCGTAATACCCCCACCTACTTAATCGTGGAATGTGCCTTTAAGTATCATACTTGTGTCAGCAGATTCCATTACGACAAAAGTTTCAGAGGAGAACACGCGCTTCGTCGTTACCCATCAGGTGAAGAACGCTGTATTGCCTGCAAACTTTGTGAAGCCATTTGCCCTGCACAGGTTTGCAATAATGCTTCAAGATAATTAGAGTTTATGTTTGCATCGCTATCTAGATGTCTTTTTTCAGCAAATATAGTGTTTAAGGCAATAACAATTGAAGCAGAAACACGCCCGGATGGCAGCCGACGAACTACGCGATACGATATTGATATGACAAAGTATGTAGTAATTATTTTTTCCGCATTTAGTTCAATGGGGTCCGCATGAGCTGGACGCGCGCGGCTGCAACGCGACGATATGACTTGTGAGCGGGCCAGTAATTTCTTATTTCGAGGGTGGACTCGAGACAAAGAAATAAATAGGGGCATGATGCTAAGTTTGAGGAAGCTGAGATCGTGCTGCATAAATGGAGTTATCTAACCCATAGGCGTCCTTGCGAGGGAGTCGTGTTCACGATTTTTGAAGGGGGAGTCGTGTTGTAGGGTTCCTGGTGTGGTCGTTGTTGCGAAAGGGAGTGGACTGTTGATTGTAACAATGAAAATGTGCAGAGATTAGAAATGTCCAACATTTCAACAGTTATGCCCTTTGGGAACCTTTGGGGAATGGGGGGGGTCGGGTT